TGTTTATTTGTGTTTTTTTTTTTTTTGTGACTTATTTTTTCCCTTCAAAGCTGTCCTATTCAGTGTGACCTGATTCCATCTGGATAAAATATTGGTGGAAATGCCATTTACCTTCTCCTCCCTAGGGACAGCCCTGGAGTTCCTTTCCTTTTGGTCTGTGACTCACGCAGTCCTATTTAGAACTAAAAGGGGCTTTAGGTCATCTAGTCCACCAATCCTACTGCCATTTTACAGATGAGGAAATTGAAAACCAGAGTGGTTAGTTGAGGCAGCTAGGTGGTAAAACAGATGGGGTACTTGACCTGGAGTCCGGAAGACTTATGTTCAAATACTGACTCAGACACTACTATGAGACCCTGGGTGAGCCACTCAACTCCTTCCTACCTCAATTTCCTCAAATGTAAAGTGGGGATAATAATAGCAGCTACTTCCCAGAGTTGTTGAAAGGATGAAATAATATTTATAAAGCACTTTGCAAAACTTAATGTGCTATATCAATGGTAGTTATTATTAAGTGATTTGAACAAGGTGACACAGATAAGATGATAGAATTCACAATTAGAACCTCAGTCCTTTGACTCCAAAGCTAGTTCTTTTTCCACTGTACCACACTGTCTCCCATGTTGCTTCTATGATTTTTTTCAGGGTCTATTATTCCCTTTTTATATTTCTTGTACTTGATTCTGGAAACAACAAAGTGCGTCTATCCCCTCCAAAGCACCCCTCCTCCCCCAGCTACCTTGCTAGTTATTTCTCAGGTTGTGTTTTTCTCATTATTCAAACAGCAACCGAAAGCTCACTCCTTCCAAGAAATCCTCCCAGAAGTATTGAAAGATATGTAGAGAAATAAAAGAAGGAATGGTAGAAGTGGAGCTAGGATGGTAGAGCAACAGAAATCATTGTAACAAACTCCCCCCAAAAACTCCTCCAAAAAGATATAGAAAATGCACCATACTCAATCATGATGGAAAAATCCAAGAAAAAGTCACAGTGGGTGGTTTCTTCAGTCCATGTCAGCACAGAGGGACAGTCAGAAAGTTCTACCGGGAGAAGCAGACAGCTACTCAAGAAGAGGCTGTGTACCAGGGCAGGCAGAGTTCCCAGATCCATACAAGGTACCACCAGATATATATTGAGACATCTCAGAAGGGTAGGTGCCCAAGTCAGTGGGCTTTTTTACTACCCAGTGCAAACTGAGAAGGGGACTTGCACCCAATGGTGGCTATTCCAGGGTGGGTAAAGCCCTGGGCTGTGTTCAGAGAGGAGCAGGTTCAGAAGCAAGCAACAGCAATGTGACTTAGGTTCCTGGAGTACAGCACGGTCTCAGTTTCAGATTCTAGCTGCCTAAAACCTGCAGAGGAATAATCAGGGAGGAATTCCAGATCAAAGGGGTACCTGTAGTTCTGTTGGTCTGAACCATCAGAGTTGGTTTCTAGTCGGCTAGTGGTGGCTGAATTCAGCACCAGTCTACTGTTCCTCAGACCTAAACGTAGGTGAGGAACTTGTTGGAGCTCAGAGCAGCAATCAGACTTTTAGCCTGGATCAGACTGCTTTGGGAACTCTAAAAGCTTACAGGTCCTCAGCCTGACCTGAGTTTTACAGCTAAGTTTTACAACCAAAAAGAACTTACCCAGCAAAACTGAATATAATCCTACTAAGGAAAAAATGGATTTTTAACAAAATAGAGGACTTCCAAGTATTCTTGATGAAAAGACCAGAGCTGTGCAGAAACTTTGAAATTCAAGAACAGGAGTTAAGAGAATCATAAAAATGTAAACACAGATGAACAAAGATAAAGTACTAAACAAAGATAAACTGCCTTCATTATAAGGAAATGATACCTGTGCTCCTACTTAACTTTATCATTACCAGGGATTATAGAGGGAATCTAATTAATTTGTGTGTTTGTTTGTTTTTGGTGAGATCAGGGTTAAGTGACTTGGCCAGGGTCACACAGCTAGTAAGTGTTAAGTGTCTGAGGCTGGATTTGAACTCAAGGCCACCTAGCTGCCCCGAGGACATCTAATTAGACAGAAGGACTGGGAGGGTCTTTGTTATGTCTTGATGATCTTAAAAGAATGGAAAAAGAGGGGAAGAGAAATATACTACAGGGAGAAGGGAAAGGAAGATTAGGGAAAATTATCTCACATTTTTAGGGCGCGTAAATAGACATCTATACAAATAAGGAAGGGGAGAGGGAATGGCTGACATTTGAATCTGCCACCTGAATAGGTCAAAAGAGGGAAATACACACACACAGACATACACAGACACACAGACACATAGACACACACCACACAGGGTCAATGCAGAAATTTGTTTTGCTTGACTATACATGTTTGTAATGGAGATTTTGTTTCTTTTGTTCTTAATTGGGATAGGGAGGTATTGGGATGGAGAGAGATATGGTGAATTTTTGCTGGTTGAAAATAATACATAATTTAAAAAAGACAAGAAAGATATATAGCTTTTTCTACTCCATGAAAATGAATTCTTCCTTCAATCCCACAATTTATGCAGCCAATGCCAACTTACTTGATAACTTTTTAGTTGTCTGTTACAGATGAACCTTAATGTCTTTTGAGTTGTTATTATTGTTCAGTGGATTAGTCATGTCTGACTCTCTGTGACCCCATTTGGGGTTTTCTTGGCAAAAAAACTGGAATTGCCATTTACTTCACCAGCCCCTTTTACAGATGAAGAACTGAGGCAAACAGAATTAGGTGACTTGCCCATGGTCACACAGCTAGTAAGTATCTGAGGCAGGATTTGAATTTAGGTACTTCTGATAAGTTGGTGCTCCAGCCACTGCACCACCTGACTGCCCCAAATGTGTGAGAGCCCATACTGTCTCTCAACATAATAGAATGTCTCTGTTTAGATTAAAGTGCTTTTTGAGATTATCTAAGCTAACCTCTTCATTTTTTTAATTTATTAATTCATTTTTAGGTTTTTTTTTTACATTTTAAAACTAATTTATTTTTAGTTTTCAACATTCACTTCCATAAGATTGAGTTCTAAATGCTCTCTGCCTCCCTCTCCTCCCCCAAACCCAAGATGGTATACAATCGGATACAGGCTATACATATACATTTATATTAAACATTTTCACATTAGTCACATCGTAAAGAGGAATTAGAACCAATGGAAGAACCACAAGAAAGAAGAAACGAACAAAAAAAAGAGCAAAATAGTATGCTCCGGATCTGCGTTCAGATTCCATAGTTCTTCCTCAGGATGTGAATAGCATTTTCCATCGCGAGTCTTTTGGAATTGCCTTAGGTCCTTGCACTGCTGAGAAGAGCCAAGTCTATCAAAGTTGGTCATCACACAATGTTGCTGTTACTGTGTACAACGTTTTCCTGATTCTGCTCACTTCACTCAGCATCCATTAATGTAAGTCTTTCCAGGTTTTTCTGAAGTCTGCCTCCTCATCATTTCTTATGGAATAGTATTCCATTACATTCATATACTATTTGTTCAGCCATTCAAATTGATGGGCATCCCCCCAATTTCCAACTCTTAGCCACTACAATAAGAGCTACTATAAATACTTTTGTACAAGTGGGTCCTTTTCCCATTTTTATGATTTGAGATACTGACCTACAAGTGGTATTGCTGGGTCAAAAGGTATATGGTTTTATATCCCTTGCATTTTTTATGCACTTAGAACACATTGGAATGCTTATCATTCCTACCAGATTACAGACTACAGACCTCCCTTATATTCCTACTACTACTTTATATACTACCCTGACACCCTTATCCTAGCACAGTGCATGATAGTAGGCAACTTATTTGAATGACTAAATGACTTACAAGACTATGGTATAGAGTCTGCCCTGCTGGTTCATTTAAAAAAATTTTATGTGCATTTGCAAACTCATCTCCCTCCTCACCAATACACAAAAAACCTAAAACCAAGGCTCACATTATCTCATCAAATTTTAAACTGGTGAGTGTTTCATCTTCAGTCCCCTGCACTTACGGTGTAGTAGCTCATTTCTGACCTGACAGTACATGCTTACGTGTCGTTGCTTGACCCTTAATTTACTCCTTTCAGAGCCTCAGTCTTACAGTAGTCTACAACCTGGACCAGGCTGGCTGTTAGCTTGGTGGCCAATTTCCTGGGAGTCAAAACCTCATACATAACAAACCCCAAAAGATGGATTTCAGGGATGAACCAAGGGAACAGGACAAAAATAATGGCCAAGAAAATTGAGACCACTCTCTCCTTCCTGAATCTTGCCAACAGTTCTTCCCTGCTTCGTTTTAGCAAAGGAGTCATCTCAATTTCCACATATTAGGTCCTCACCAACCCTATCCCACAAACCTCTGGGCTTAGCAATCATAGGTCTTACTCTATAAACCTAATGCTTTTGCAAAGGTTATTTATCAACAAGCCATAAATGATGGACATAGCTGGAAATAATAGGTACTATTCATATAGATCTGTAATGTCCGCAGACTCCCTTTCTTAACTACCCCAACCCTAAGATGTGAACGAGATAAATCTCTTCCTATAGCACTTTCACTTATAAGTGATCCCTGATCTCATTTGTTCCTTAAACCTAAAGCTCTCCTAACCTTCCCAAGCACCTACAAACACATCCAAACTAAGTTAGAATTATGTCAGCAATGGACAGAGAACTGGGATCAGAAAAGGGTGTAACTACATAAATGGATGTAGGGATGGGTAAGAAGAGACACAAAACCCTGATGACATCTTTTCAACTTGAATAGTATTTTCTTTATTTACAAGTTAGAATCAACAGACACACGAAAAGGGAGAGGACTTAGCTCAAAAAGCCTCTTGGAGAGACAGAAGATATGACCCCCGAGGGCCCCAACAGAGTAGGATGTAGGGATAGGTTAAAAAAAAAAAAAAAAAAAAGTCAAAGTAAAAAAACAAAAACAAAAAAACAAAACCAAAACCAAACCAAAAAAAACAAGCCCCCCCCCTTCCCTCCCCAGTCTAGGGGGACCCCCCCCCAGCCCCACCTCCCCCAACCCTGCGCCATTTAAAATAAATTAAAACAAACAACTTCAGAAAACAGGGCCCTTGGAGAGGAGTGGGCAGCTGGTAGTTGTGGCCTCAGGCTTCAGCCCAACTTTATACCTACCCAAGACCCCTCCCCCCACTTCAGTCTATTTTAAGTGGGGAGCTTCAAGCCCAAGGGGAATCCCCTCCTCCTGTCCCTTGAGTCCCTCAGGGGGAACTGTCCATGTATCCCTCCCCCCCTTGCAGAGCCAGCTCTCCCACATGGGGGGAATGGGGTGAGGGGGGGATCCAAGTAGAGGGAACCTCTGGAGAGGGCTAGGGGAATCCGGTCCTGCAGAGCCTCCTGCCCCATTGCTGCCTGGCCCCTTAGCCTGAATCAGAGTCACTGGTATCAGAAGAGGAAGATGAGGATGATGATGAGCTGGAGTCTGAGCTGGAACTTGAGGCACTGAGGCGTGACACTGCCACCTGCTGCGCTGACTCCACTTTCTCACTCGCTGTATTAAGAAAATAATACAGGGATGAGGGTGAGCCCAGCAGAGATGTTGGCAGAATGTGAGGTAGGGGTAGGTAAGCCACAACACAAAACTTCAAACTTATCTCCCCCTGCTTGGGCTCCTGACTCACCCTTCTTGGGGGGCTTCTTGGTAGAATTGAGCTGACCACTCACATCCTGTAGCCGCTTCTCAAGCTCTCGCTTCTTCTCTAGAGCCAGTTCCTCCTTCGTCTTACCCACCGGCTTTTTGATGGCTAGAGACAGAACGAGAAGTTAAACCTCAGGCCCCTCCACACCTCTCCTCCTCTGTTACTTGACTCATTTTCCAGCAGACACAAGTAACCAACCCAACAGGGCAGAACTGCCCTTCATCAGTAGCCCTTCTCAGCCCACAGTGGTCAGGAATGCAGTATCTCTGCCACACACTCACTATAGGGTTTCCTTGGCTTCTTGCGCAAACAAGAAAGAACATAGCGCTCAAGTTCTCGAAGTGTGGATGGTTTGAGAGTCTCAAAATCAATCTCAATCTCCTCAGGGTTTGAGTCACGGAGTGAGGGCTCTCGGGCCTGGATGATGTGGACCACACGGCCTAGCTTCTCTCCAGGTAACTTGTTGATGTCCAGGCTCAGCTGTCTTTTCTCATCATAACTCATTGGCCGACTCTCCTCTTCTTCCTCTGAGTCATAGGCAGCAGTTGGTGGTGGTGGAGCCGTCTTCATTGCCTTCTTTGGGGGCCTAGAGAGAGAGCAAAGTACATTAATGCCAGCAAGAGAACTACACTTAATCATTCACTCTTCCATCAGCAGCCCATTTTCCAAGTGTTCCCCTCACCCCCGAAACAAAAGCTCACTACTTGGAGGATAGTGGGATGGGATGTAGTTGGGAAACAGAAGAGGTAAGGGATATGTGAACATGCAGCCATAATGCTTCACTTTGAATCCTAACTGATCTGCTAATTTTCCACCTTAGACCTCACCTGGTGGCACCACTTCCAGGAAGACCAAAGCCGGGAGTCCCTGCTGCCCCGGGACCACTGCTGCCACTACCACCTGCCTTCTTGGAGGATTTCTTGGGTGGTGGTGGTGGGCGAGGCAGCCTGGGACCCTTGTCATCTTCATCCATCCCTGCTCGTCCCCGATGCTTTTCTGCCTTCCGCTTTTTCTTCTTTTCCTTCTTCTCTCGTTTTCTTTTAGGCTTGGAAATTGGCCCCTGGGACAGGGCAGCTAATTGTTCATGTACTGCCCGAAGCTGGGGGAAAAAAAAGATGCCAAGTGGATAAAACCATTACTAGGACTGATTAGTATTAGGGTGGGATCAAGGAAACGGAACATATCACTCTACACGTCAGTAAGTAAGAGGGAAAATACAAACTGACAGGAACGCACAATACCTGTTCCTGTAGTTCAGCCAACCTGTTGGCCCTCTCTTCCTCCGAGTCAGAGCTTTCAGTTTCTTCTTCTTCCTCCTCTTCTTCTTCTTCTTCCTCCTCTGAGGAACTTTCACTACTGCTCTCCTCACTGGAGGACTCAGAAGATGATTTGGCCAAGCCAGGGGGCAGAATAGTTGAGGCAGGTAAGGGTCCTGGCTCCAATGGTTCATCAGGCATCTTGGCATATCGGAACTCAAACACATCCTGGAGACAAAGATAAACATACCCTAGTAGGTGGGTAGGTAGCACCTCCATCATCTCAAACCCATCCATCAACCATGATTACATCCCCTCTTCTGCTGTGAAGAGCTTCTGTGAAAAGGAAAAAGTCATCAAAGGAATCCCAGGCAACCTCTTTTGTCTACCCACATTCATCCTCACCTGACTCCCAACTCCCCACTCCACAACTTACCTGCAGCTTTCGTGCCATGGCAACGACATCATGATCAGGGGGGTTATACTTGTAACAGTTGGAAAACATAAGCCGCACATCAGCTGCAAACTCTTGAGCATCCCGGTAATCTCTGTTCTCCATCTTTCGCTATGGGAAGAAAAACTGTATCAAAGGTACTTCAACTTGGAGAAGAAATCATGTTTTTTCCTCCCACCCAAAATACCACAGCCCCACATCACAGACATAACACAATAGGAATAGTCTCACTTTCTCCCTCAAGACAGAGATTTTCTGTAAAAATCTTTAGGTCCATGGTCAGATTTAAGCCTGAAGCCACAAGGACCTAGGCTGGCTGAGAGCTGTCATGTCTACAGCCAGAAAGAAAACTTGCACAAAGAGATTGAGACTAAGATACCTAATTATCCCTCCATTATGTAATTCCTTTTTCTGCTTTTTTCAACCAAGGCATACACTGCACTACTAGCAAACAAGGCAGTTCTCTCTTGAAACCAGGGAGTAAACTGGCACCATTTCAGATCACAAGATACTTCTGTCACAAAAACCCAAATTCCTACACATTCTGTGCTTTTCTAAGTTTCTGGGCAGGGGACGGAGACATTAAAAACCTAATTGTTGAGACTGAGAACCAAAGGTCTCCGAGTATTGAAAATCATCCCCTAAAAAGGATACCTTGACAGTGCTGAGGTCCATGGGGTGCTTAATAATGTCATGGTAGTCATGCAGGCCAAGAGCTGAAGCATCCACGGGCTTATAGAAAGGCCAGGCATAAGCAGCATGTTTTTTGGAAAGTAGCTCTTTTAAAATGCCATTGCAGTGTTTCAGCTGCTCTGACAGCTTCCCTTTCTTGGAGCTCTGGTGCTGCTGCTGGGAGTCTGGCAAGTCCTTTCGTGGGGGTTTGATGGGACGGCCACTTTCTCGGCGTGTGGGGGGCAGCCGAGCTGCTTTGGGTTCTGGGCCACCCCCAGGGGGACTGGCTGGGGAACCAGGAGCCAGGATAGCTGTTGGTGTAGGCGTGGTGGTGTCTGCTTTCCGCTTCACCCCCTTCTTCTGCAGAAAAAAGAGAAATCAGATGTAGGCTGGGTATTCCTGCAGTGCGCCACTCCACTTCCAACAAGAAATTTGTAGGATCTCACCTTGGTGAGTGGCTGGGCAGTAGGTGCTGCAGAGACTGCCAGCAAAGGGGTGCCAGTGGAGTGCAGAGACTTGAGAAGGGGAGAAGAGATGACTGAGCCATGGGGAATGTTCAGGACAGTGGTGGGAATCTCAGGTGATGAGGAATACAAAGGTGTGTGAGACAAAGAAGAGACAGCAGGCACCTGGTGGGCATTGGTGAGGCTGTTCTGAAGTGCTGATGGATAAAAACAGCAACCGATAATCTCTTATTAAGTTTTTCTCTTGGACCCTGTCCCACCCCCTCTCAGTGAAGCTGGGGCTCATTTTGTTCTGCCAGCCCAAACTTCCTTTGACCCCAAACTACCAATTTGTGTTACCTGCCAGCTTTGCCCCCTTCTTGTGGCTATTCTTGGGAATGGTCACCACTAGTTCCTGTTCTTCAGATGGCATCAGTGCCACCTTCTGCAAAAAGATCTTTTCTAGTGTCTGTGCCATCAGTACGATGTCATCTGTAGGCTATTGGGGGAAAGACCAATTAATTGCTAGGGGAAATAGAAATTTCCCTCCTTAGAAAGAGTTCTCAGTCCTAAGGAACTATTTAAGTCCCTTGGATGCTTCCCTTGTCACCGAGCTAAGGTGACATTAAGATAAAACATAAAGAACAGAATGAATATTATCAAAACAATGATAAACTGCGGGGCAACTTCAAGGAGAATATTTCATTCACTGTAAAAGATTGTCTAGAATCAATAATCCCCATTTATGCAAACTGAGAGTATTAGCCACTACCTCTGAAAGGCCATTCTGAGAAGTTCACTGCTATTACAGGTTTAAAAAAAAAAAAAAGAGAGAGAGAAAGCCTTATGTAGTTTAGACTGGGTCTTAGTAAACTGAGGCCCTGGGCAGGGCACTTAACTTTTCTGGGCCTTCTTCACATAAGCAGCTGGACTAAATGATTTTACTTTCATTACCTACCAAGGAAAGGTCTGAAGTTTAATAAGGGATGCCAAAGCAGGATTTTAGTGAACTAAGGAGGAATGAGAACATGAGGGGCATCTTAAAGAGGGGGAAGGAAAGGAAAAGAGCAAACCCCTGCTCACAATGTGAGGGTTCACCCATACTCCTCCAACCTTCCTGGTAAGGCACAACTAGTAGCAATAACTTCCCAAGTCAGCCTGGAGTGGGGCAGACACTACCTGGTGGTATACACATAATGGAAGTGGGCCCACCTTGTTGTAGATGTAGCAGTTGGTGAACATGGTATTGAAATCCTGCATACATTCAGAGGCCAACCAGTAATAATTGTTTTCCAAGCGTCGTTTGATGGTTCCCATGTCCATGGGTTGCTTGATGATCTTGTGATAGTCCTAGGGGAAGAAAGACCACACCCCAGGATTAAATCTATCCTCACTTCTTACTTTTCTCTATTCACACTCACACCCTATGCTTTAAAGGGCTCGAGGGCCCTATCCCCACACTGCGGCCCCCACCCCCAAACTACAAGGAGAAAAGCTGGGATTTGAAAAAATGGTGCTAATATTCACACTAAGGTTTCTACCTCCACAAAGTTTCCTATCTCTCCCCTAACCACCCTCTATTCCCATCCCTTTCTGGGGGGTCTGAGACATTACCTCTGGGGCTGGCTATTCCGTGGGCAGCATGAGGGGTAGGAAGAAGCTAAGGATATTAGCCACCGTGGTCCTCTCCCAACCCCAGGCAGGAATCTGCAAAAGGGAGCCAGGTCATAGTAAGTTAGGGAGGGACATCTGAGGAGATAGGCTGGGGATGATCAAAAGGAAAGAGAAGTACTCTAAGGCAGAGAAGGATCTGAACTGACACCAAGCAATAGATTTTGGGAGAAATCTGTTTACCTATCATGGGGAATTGATGAGATACCCTTGGGGGCCGCAGCACCTGCTCTAGTATTCCCCCCATTCATACATAATAATCCTCCCCACCTCATCCCACTTTCCCCTCATCCCAGGTACCCTTTACTCACCGGCAGGCCCAGTTTGACGGCGTCTACCGGCTGCCGGAATGGCCAGGCAAACTGATGCTTCCACAGGGCTTTCATCACCACCTTGTGTAGGTACTGCAACTGGTTAGTGACCCGACCTGGCTTCTTGGGATTAGATACTTCAGGGGGTGGTGGATTGGCCGGGGGAAGATGCAGAGCAGGCACTGAGGCCATGGTTGGGCTCTCAAATCCCTCATACAACAGAGAAGGTTTCCGGATCCGCTTCCCTGGGGCTGCTGCCTCAGGGCCCAGGCCCAGTAGGCCTGCATTCCCCTCCCCAGGGAGTCTGAAGGAGAAAAGGTTGAGATGAGTGAAGGGAATGGGTACAAGCATTTCAATTCTGGGTCTGAAAGCACCAGGGTTCCAGTGTTAGGACCCTGAGATTGATAGACACCAATGGCTTATTCCCATTTGGGGATAAGGCTGCTATGGTCCTTGAAAAAGGAGAATATGCATTTATAGTGCCTACTATGTGCCAGGCTATGTATACTAAGGGCTTTGCAAATACTCTCATTTGATTTGATTGGATGCTGGTATGATTACTTGGATTAAGGCCCAGGGCCCTTGAGAACAAAGCCTCATGAGATAAAAAGGCAGGGTTAGAAAAGAAAATTTGTACTGTTCATCACTCTTGCTAGGGAAAGAAACTCTGGTACCTCCTTGAAGTGCAAAGTTCACCTTTCCAGGTGGTGGTGGGGAAGCAAAAGACCAAACATTCAAAGAAAAACTAGCTCAGAAACAAATGATTTCATTGTGTTTGTTACACTAAGAGCCTAGCTGCAGCCAAGCAGCACAAACTTCAATCCCCTCAACAAAACGTTTATGAAATGAGATCAAAATAAAGCCAAGGTCAGCAAAAAATCCCTCTTTTTCAATCACTGCTTCCAAAAGACACTAACCAGAGAGGCATGACATAGACGCTGTCTCTCTTGGGAACAAAAGTTGGTCAAGAGTTAAGCTAATATTGGTAGACACTAATTTAATCCAGGGCCAGACAATGGGTGATAATGGCTCCCCTAATAGTATCTTTTTTCTATTATTTCCTATTTTAGCTGTAAATTATCTTGTTTGTATACAACTGTTTACCTGTTATCTCCTTCATTAGACTGAACTAAAGACTTTTTATCTCCAGAACTTAGCACGGTGCCTGGGACATGGTAGGTACTTATAATGCTTGTGGACTGACATGCAATTGTTTACAACCCACACAGCTGGGGCACTGTGGTGCAGTCCTTTATTCCACCCTTCTCCCCGGGAATTACTTAACCCAACTTCATTTTAGACCCACCAAAGTAAATCAAGAAGAAAGAACACCCTATGATTTTGAACCTTTATTGCAAAGAAAAGAAAGGATGTGTACAAGGAAATTACCACAATAAACTATTTCATTTAAAAAAAAATTGTATACCTCCCCACCCCAACACACCCACCAAGTCCCACTGTCTGCTCCCACAGCACAAGTCACCATGGCAACCCCACACAACCCAAGATGCCAAAGCCTTACACTGAACCAGTTAGGATCTCGGCCAATACACAGGAACCACTAAGAACCAGCTGACTCCCAACTCCCACCTGTCAATGTGCCACTGAAGCAACTCATCCCCACCACACCCCCACAACCAGCACTCTTAAACAAGAGAGCATGCACCCGGGGGGAAAAAAACACAGAAGCCCAAATTCTCTTACCCCATGCTCCTGAGCCACAAACTGGGTCAGCCCCGCTGCTACAAAACACAGCGTGCAGCTATCTCCCTACAAACTAACCGATTCCCACCCCCACCCCTCGCCAAAGCCTAACTGCGCGGCTCCAGATACAACAGTTCAACACCCGGGGAAGACGTACTTGCTGTGGGGGGTCACGTTCTGCAGCATCCTGTCTGTCCCGGGCTCTGCACCGTCCTTAGCCGCAGCAAGTCGGGGTGGCCTCGGGTCCCCTCTGCCCCAGTCCGGCCGTGCCCTGCATAACCCAGGAGGGGGGGCCGGCTGTTCTCGGCCCCCCCGGGGAGCTCCCCCCGCCCCTGGACCGTCGGGCACCAATGCACGGCCCTCTCCGCAGCACCTGGGGGAGGCCTCAGCGCCACGGCGCGCTGCTCAGGCGGCGGCCGGTTAGAAAATGGCGGCGGCCCAGAGTCAGGGCGAACGAGCTAGGGATCGGAGCGGGAGCTTCTTCGGACCCAGCAACAGAGCCCGGATTTCTACCACTGCCAATTAAATACGACCTGATGCAGCTTGTCCCAGTTTCTTACTTTCTGATAGGGATGACCGAAGTGGCCAAATGCCGGTTCTGGAGTCGGATGGCAGCGGATAGACACGGAGAGCGCAGATTAGAGCGCCGACGCCTCCATCTTTGATCTCCTCTTAAGGGCGGAGGGAGGGGGCGGGATGGCGCGGCAGACAGGCCCGGCGTATTGGGCGGGGCCCAAAAAAGGGTAGCTCAGAAGGTCTCTACTGGGTCTGCAGTACTCGCCAAGGTTGGTCCCAGGTCAGGCCAAGGGACATCTCCGAACGGATGGATGTGGATTGTAATGGCGAACTCTCGAGATTTGCCGCCTCTGTAGCCGTGGGCCCAATCCCCCTCCCCCAGCACTGGCCGCTCTGCTCCAGCGCGAAATGGCGCCGCCGAGCTCCGCGCTGGCCCTTTATATATAATCGGGGGTGGGGGGTGGGGAAGAGGGAGGAGCTCCGCAGCTCCCGCTCACCACCGTGCTCGCGACTTCCCTTCTGGCCAGCACGCACACGCACGGGGGCTGGGGAGGCCTAGAAGCCCGCCCCTCCGCGGGCGCCTTCCCCATTGGTGGGCTACAGCAATGACATCACTGGCCTGCCTCCTCAGTTTCAGTCACCAGGCAGAGCTTCGCTACATTGGCCCATAGGGGAGCCACAGCCCGCCCACTGCAGGCGCCAATAGGTTGTACAATGGTCCGGAGACCTAAGAGCGGGAGGAAGGTCGGGGGAAGGGAGGGTATACCAGAGCCGCGGGGTCTCCCACACCCACAGCTCCTTCCCTTCCGGCCGTCGTCTTCCTCTCCTCCAAATCGGTCTGGCAAGCCAGGCGATTGGTGAAGGCGGGGCGGGTAGTGCCATTCGTTGCTCTCTTATTGGCTGGCTGAACAGGCGATGGGGGGGGGGGGGGGGAAACAGGGAGGGGGGCCACGTGGGCGTCGTTGGTCTTGCGCCCAGGCGGGGGCGTGGCAGTTGGACGCGGCTGTTGGTTGTTGTTTTCCAAGACGCTACAGCTGCAGCAGTTGGGTCTCTGCAATAGGGGAAGAAGGAGACGCCATCTTAGAGAAGGCTACCAGAGCACAGCCTGCTTCGTGTTCTCGGAACACGGCAGTGAGGGAGGCCCATGTCCTCCCCCGATTGGCAGCTTCCAGATACGTATTTTTCAAAGTCCTGCTTCTCCTTTCCCTGTTAAATGATCTTAATTTAAAAACCAACTATTAAGAGTACAAAATCCCCTAAAGAAATTAAAACCTTGCCTCACAGACACTTTCCCGCTCCCACTGCTGCCTTTTTCGCCCTTCAGACTAAGCTCCACAGTCCTCTCTTTGCTCCTCCCCAGTGCAGTGAAACGAGCTTGGAACAAAAAGGTCACTATAGAACTCAACAAAACTCCACACTCCACTGGCAGGGAGAGGGCTTCAATGGTGCAGATTTAATGCTCAGCCACCGCTCCAACTTGCCTGACCCGGTAAAGTCGGGCCAAAACCGAGCCAAAGGAAAACCACAAAATCCCCAAAGCTGACCTTGTCCGCCATTCCTAAGCTCCCTTTGCCCCAACCCTCCATGGATCAAGCCCCCCCATCCTCCAGCTTTTCTCCACGGAGAAAAAGCAGCACCTCCCACGAGGCTTGCAGCTGTCCTTATGGACCCCCTCCCCTCCGAGGGGCAGAGGCCTTTTAGGGGGCTCCTCTGTGGCTGTAAATGAGCCTCCAGTGCCCAGCTTTGGCACCTCAGGTCCTTGTCTCCTCTGCCCTCCCGGAAGTTGCAGTTTAGGGGAGTCGGTTAAGGGGTGACACAGATTAGGGCCTGGGAGCCCTGGGCCGAGCTCAAGACCAGGAGCGGGCCGGGGCCTCTTGCTGTTAAGATGGCTGCCGGTCAGCCGCCTCTTTTCTCCTCATCGACCGCAAACAAGGACAACCCTGGGCCCGTGTGTGGGGTGGGGAAGGAAAGATGGGAGGTGTGCAGCTCACTGCTGCACCCAAGGAGGCCTAAGTGCTCCCCTCCGAGGGGAGCCACCCTCCCCCCTCGCTGCAGCCGTGACACAGCAACTTTGCCAGGTTCCTCCCTTCCCCCTCCTAGCCCTGACACCCTCCCCCCATGCGGTGCCTCCCTCTCCCGGGGCCCCGCACCAAGCAGTCAGAGGCCTACGGAGGGGCCCGCCCGGGAGGTGGAGGAGAAGCACGAGGCCCTGGCGAGAGAAGAGGACAAAGAACACCCTTCCCCCTTCCCTCGATTCCGGAAAATCACTCCCACCAGATCCCTCCCCTCTTCCCCAGCCCCTCCCGGGCTTCTGAGTCACAGGCCCAGCTGAAGCAACTGCGAAATACTTTTGGAAAAGAAAATTCTCCCTACGCAGCAGCGTATTTCGGGAAAGGCCTGATTGGGGCATTTGAGGCACTCGGGGAGGGTGAAACCAGACAAAAGCTAAGGCTAAAATGAAGACTCTTGCATTTGCTCCAGTGCCGGCTACGCTCCGGGCCCCAGCTCATTCTCTCTTCCCAGCCTCGACCTTGAAGCCCCTGGTCGGCCCTTTTACAGACTCCTAAGTTCCTGACTTATTTTCTCTCCCTCCCCACCAAACTAAGCGTAAGAGAAATAGCGTTTTGCACCGCAGGTGGGAAGGGGGGGCATAGCGCCCCTAAGGCGACATACACGTGAATGCACAGCCGAATTTTTGTAAGTGACGCGAAGCATAACCTCCTGGAACTGCCATGTGATAACTGCAAGCTTCCCAACATCACTGACACAATGGGATCACTGTAACCCTCCCTCCAAGGGTTAGGAAGGAAAAGGGGGGGGAACCTGCATCTGAACACAACTGCACCTTGCAGTCTGGCTCCCCGGGATAATTCCAAGCCAAAGGGCGTTTTAAAAACATCACACCCTCAGTAGGGATGGGCAGCAGGCACCATCCTCACTACCCCAGCCCATTAAATCCCCCCTCCCTCCTCCCCTCAAATAGGCCCGTTCTCACCTGGCTCTTGCTTCCTGCACCCCTAGGGGACGACGGGGGGCGGGGGGTCATTCATACCCATAACCCCCTGTCCTCTCATTGGCAGGAAAGCGGGTGGTTGGACGCTTCCCCTCCCCCACCGCAGGGGCCCCCTTACCCTAGCACCGACCCCACCCTTTCCCACATTCTCATTGGTTGCAAAATGCTTGATTGACAATATTCCGCTCCCCCCACGACCCCCTTGCCAAACCCCAGGACCCCACTCCACCACCCTACCTATTGGCTGAAAACCTGGATGATTGACATTCCCCCTTCCAAAGAAGTCCCCTCTCACCTGGCTCCAGCAACCCTCCCGCGGGGGCTCTGCTGCTCCCCTCGGCTCGGTGTGGGGGGAGGGTGTAATCCGGGGTGTCACCCCCCCCCGGAAACTGCAGCGGTGGGGGGGGCGGCACCCCCGGCCCCTCCCTTCCTGGGGGGGAGAGTTTCGGGGCCGCGCGGCCACGTCAGCAGTGCCAGGATTGGCCAAGACAGGTCACGTGCCGTCAGCCCCCCCCCAACTAGTCATCCGGGCAAGTTTTCCGTAGGTTTTCTAGGGGTGCGCGTGAAGGCCTGGGGCTCGCCGTACCCCGGACCCAACCCCACGGTCCTGCTACTGTCTCTTCTCCCAACCTGGCTTTCTTTCCAGCGGCTGTCGCACTCCCCCCATCTCTCCTCCCAGTCCGGGTTCAGCATGGCTACCGCAGCCCCAGTGCGGGCAGGGCGCAGGCGCGAGGGTGCGGTCCGAACTGGTGGGAGGAGGGGAGGCAGAGGGGGAGGGGAACGGGCAAGGCCGCGGGGGAGGTGCGCAGGCGCTCGACTGAAGGGATAGAGTGAGCCTAAGTGCGGTGGCCTTCAGGGCGTTGCGACATCTCCCTCTCAACCTTCGTGGGTTTTGAATGGTTAGGGGCGGGCGGATTAACCGGTTTTTCCTCCGACTTTACCCTAGGGCGTGACTTTGCTGCCACCTCTACTCCTGGCCGGGTTTCAGCGGAAGGGAGGGCCCTTGGGGACCTCGGAGTACGCGGGGGTGGGGCAGGCCGGCCTGGGCGTGGGGAGCGTGGACGCCGCACTCGCACTTGAGAGGTCGGAGGTGGAGGACCCTTGTCGGTGTGATGATTAGGTCTGCTCTTTGGGGAGCTTTCGAGAGCATGTTCCTTCCCACTCTTTTGGTTACCGTCCCACTTAAAGCCCTTGCCTGCTTTTTTGCCGTTGTCTCCTTAAATGGTCCTTCCTACCTTCAGTCAAAACAGTACATGCAAGTTTCCTCCAGCTCCAATGCATGCCACACAGAGTTACCAAACAAACATACTCCCAAAGTTTTGGTCTGACCTCAAGAAACTTTCCCTGTTGCCTCCAGGATAAACTACAAATTGGCATTTAAAGCCCTTCCTAATCTAACTCCATCTAAATCTAATTCTAGACTGATTTCACATTATTCCTTTTCACAGACTCTGGATTGTACTGTTTCTCCTTCATCACTTTCGGTCTCTTGCCTCCTTGCCTTTTTTTTGCACAGGAAGTTTCTGGCCCTTTCCCCCACACCCCCAAGCATGGAATTGCCTTCCCCTTCACCTCTTTGAATTCCTGCCTGTCTCTTTTTAAAGCCCTTCTCAATCCTCCTCTCCCAACTCTTTTCATATACACACACTCTTATAGACTTTTTATTTACTTATTTATGTATTGTTTCTCCCTAGTGGAATGTAAGTTCCGAAAAGAGGGCTGTTTATTTTTTCTCTGCTCTCCCCCAAGTGCAAAGAACAGTAATGGAGGTGAATTTCCACTCTTAGTGAGAATCTCAGTTACTCCTTCTCGAACAGTTAAGGCACAGGTTCTTCCTGGAGTATGTCAGGGTGGGATTCTACCTTCATGCTCAGTTAATTACTGAAGACTTAGACTAGAAGTCAAATAAAATGTAAACTTGGTGTTAACAAGCCCTTAACTGGAGAAAATTAAAGGATTTTCAGGCCATAAGAAACAGTTTGTGATGAGAAAATCAAGTCACACCTAAATTAGGACAGATAGCCTAACCTCATTCTAAATGTCCAGAACATTGCTAGCTTTGAGCTCTGAGCTATTGTGACTGTACTCCTAACTATGAGTTATATTAAATTCCATAGAGAAGCAGAAGTGGCAACCACCTGGACCCCAGAGACTATTTCCTAAGTCTAAAACTTGAACTAATTGCTGCAATGAGATAGAGCTGATTAAATTTCCTGAGACAAACACAAGGCCTATAGGGGAAAGGGAGCAAAAGCACTCTCCACCAGGGAAACCCATGACCATTGGTTTTACAACTGTAATTCAAAATAATATGTGATAATGATATCAGCAGTGAAAACAAGCCTCTAGGTGAGCCTAGAGAGAATAAAGGGCATATAGTTGGCACAGTGAATAGAGTGCTAGGCTTCCAGTCAGGAATACTTCATGAGTTCCAGTCTAGCCTCAGATGTTTACTGTGTGACCCTAGGCAAGTCACTTAACCCTATATTAGATAAACACATCGACTAAGCCATTTCTTAGGGAAGAGACACAGGAGGGCTTCTAGCATCTCTCTCCCTAGCAGGTTCGCTTTTGATCTAGTCAGACAGGAAGACAGGAATGGAGTCATAATAAGGTGTTAAATAAGCTTACTTTATTCTAGTCTAGTCTTCTGAAAGGGAGTTTGCACCAACTCTTAACAGCATTCCCTAACAACCCTTCTCAAAGGGCTGATGTGAAGGTGGGGCAACTACCTCTCTGTTTCAATGGGATCACTCAGAGAAGCACAACTTGTACTCTCTCCTAATTCCCTCAAGTCTCAATGGGGGCCAGTTGAGGCAAATACACAGATTGCTCCTCCCAAGCCTTGATGGGGGCTGATTAAGGTACACACAGCTTTCCAGCCTGCACATTTACCCCTATGGGGGTCCCCGGTCACTGACCAGTGACCACTTGCTTTATACGGCAACAAATAAAGAAGGCATATTGCTAGCAATAGCCTCACAATTTTACATTACTTCACTCCTATATCTACCTCAACTGCGTAGTAAAAACTCTTTTGAACCATGATCGTGAGAACTCATGCATAACACTGGAAAAGTAGAGATTGTTATGGCTAGGGATCCTGGGAAGAAAACTCTAAGAAACAATAACAAAAAATCTACTTCACACACACTAAATTCACCTTACTTACACCCTATATGCCTCAGTTATTCATCTGAAAAATTTGCTGGAGAAGGAAATGGCAAATCACTCCAGTGTCTTTGTTGAGAAAATCCCAAATGGAGTCATGAAGTCAAATATGAGTGAAATGACTGAACAGCAACAGAGAGAATGAAGATATTATTTACTTGGAAGGGGATGACTTTATGGAAGATGTGATCTCTGAGTCAGGAGGCAGAAAAATAAATGTGGAGAGAAGAATAAGGAACAATTAATCAACAAGCATTTATTAAGCATTTACTATGTTCTACTGTACTGTGTTAAGCACTGGTGATACAAAGAAAAGGCAAAAAAACCCAGCCCCTGCCCTCAAGGTACTTATATTCTAATAGAAGACAACATAAATAAATTATAACATACTAGGTGAAAAACATATACTCAGAGTAGAAGGCTGTAGTCGTTGGGGGGGAAATCAGAAAAGGCCTTTTGGCAATTGAGCTGAGTCTTTAAGGAAGCCATGAGATTCTAAGAGACAGAGGTGAGTAGGGAGAGCATTCCAGGCAGGGGGAGCAGCTGATGAGCCTTAGAGATTTCTCCAGATTTAGCCATTATACCTCAGCTGCCTACCAGCTGCTCCTTCAGGCCACTTTTCCCATTGGCGAGTTTTTCCCAGGATCTCTCTTTTGGGGAAGGACCTCAGACCAGCCATCCCTGATATCTTTGGACTTAGGCACCTCCTTTTCACCCTCTTCCACTTTTTGGCTTCCCATTTATGTGTTCCCCCCCATTAGAATATAAACCTGAGGACAGGGACTGTAAGAACTATCTTTTTTTCTCCCCTTTATATTTGTATCCCCATTGCTTAGCACAGTGTCTGGCACATGTTAAATGTTTAATAACTACATGTTGACTGACTAACTAGTGGAGATGGGAGATGGAAGATTGTGTGCAAGGAACAGTAGGTAGGCCTAGAAATATAGCTAAATTGTAGAGTACATGGAGAAGAGTAATTGTGTAAGAGGATGGAGATAATAGGCTGTGAAGAGATTTAAATGCCAAACCACTGACTGAAAGTTAAAGCATTAATTGAGCACTTAACTATGTTGCAAAGCACTATGCTAAGCACCTGAAATTCAAATAGAAAAGCAAGACAAGTGTTCTCAAAGAGCCTATGTTCTAATGGAAGGGACAACATATATAGGTGGTTATAGCTGCTCCCCTTGATGATGGCTGAGGTGGTGGTGGCATTGAGGTGGTGCAGGCTGGGCAATGAGATAGAGTCAAGGATGCCTCTGTAGTTACCAACCTGGGTAACTGGGAAGATAACAGTTCAGTTTTGGACATGTTGAATAGTTGAATGTGAAATATATGTAGGACATCTAAGCAAAGCTGTCCAGCAGGGAAATGGATGGGACAGAACTGTGCAACTAGGAATGAGAGCTGGATATCTAGATTTGGGAGTCATCTACATAGAAATGATAAATGAGAGCAGAAGGAGGTCACCAAGGGAGATTATAGTAGAAAAAGAACAAGAGAGATCCCAGGACTGAGCCATTGGAAACACTCATATTTAGGGTGTGGATAATAAGATGATGATGTAGTAAAGGGAAGGAGAGGTCAAAAGGTCAGACAGGTAGAAGAAAAGCTAGAGACATCAGTGACGGACACCAAAGGAGAAGAGAATACGTTTGAAAGAGAGAGTGGTTAATAGTGTCAAAAGTTACAGAGATTAAGGCTCTGCAAAAAGAGTATCAGATTTAGCAGTTAGTATAATAATTGATCTGGAGAGCCCTGTTTGGGACTTTGATTCTATTTCCTTAAGGAAGATGTGGACATAAGTGTCATTTTGGCCAAGGCTGGTATGGATTGGATCCACCCTCTTTAAAGGAAGCAGGAAATCTTTGTGACCGTTGGACACAAACAATCCTAGGGAGGGTTTTTGTTGTTGTGTGACTCTTCATGACCCCATTTGGGATTTTCTTGGTAAAGATACTGGAGTGGTTAGCTCATTTTACAGTTGAGGAACTGAGGCAAACAGGGTTAAGTGACTTGCCCAGGGTCACACATCTAGTAAGTGTCTGTGGTCAGATTTGAACTCAGGAAGATGAGTCTTTTCTGGCTGTAGGTCTGGAACTCTATCCATTGTGCTACCAAGCCACTACCAGGGAGGATAGCAGACCTACCTAAAATCAGATATTGGTCTCAAAGGGGGATGGGAATGTGAGTGGATGTTGAATGACT